AAGCATGTTGGGCCATTCTAAGCCTTGAATAGAAAAAAGGAAGAGATCATTAAGTTATAATTTCCCCACACAATCGGTCTAAGCATTTCCTACCAACAGGATTAGGCTGAATACAAGCTCCCAGAATAAAGCTGCTCAGCAGTCAGGATGGCAGTTTAGTGTCTAGTAAATTTGATTTCCCTGAAAATCCTGACACATCATAATAGCAAAATCCTATTTACTGTAGCAAGCAGGATGGATAATACTATTTAACACCTGGTATAGTATGTGCCATCAGCTCAGAGCTTTGTGCTCTGTGTGCTCATCTTACCTTAAGGTTAATGCTCCTTGACAGCCAACATGGTAAGGAGAATCCCCAAATTAAGTGCCCAACTCAGGATTTGCAAATCCTTCCTCAGCGTTTAAGTCGTGAAAGAAACGGATGCAGATAAGTGTATCACATTCCCTGAACTTAATGTCTGTATTCTCAGGCTCAGATCTGGCACTCAGCCCTGGCTGGTGGAGGATTCTCCCCACACAAAGGCCACTGCACTCACCCAGGCCACGTGGAGAGATGATGGAATGGGCAAAGAACTATCCCAGGGCAGCAACTTGCTAACTGTTAAAACTGAGTGCATCCAACATAACACTGACAGCTCCACACGCTAACAGAATTGTAGAAACATGGAATTGTTCAGGTTGGAAAAGCCCTCTAAGACCATCAAGTCCAACTGCTCCCTCAGCACTGCCAAGGCCCCAGCTAAACCATGTCTTCAAGTGGGTGGAGAAGGATACCAATTTACACCAGCCCTGCCAACAGGTTATTTCTCTTCGTGCTTGGGTTGCTCTTGTGATTTTGGGTTAATGTTGTCCTTGTAGGACTCAACCCATGTGCTTACACTGCCTTTTGGTGTGGGTGGAGAACAGCTGGAGGTGGAACTGCCTCAGCCTCTTGACTGCTCAGAGTGACTAATTTTTCCAGAGGGATCCTTTCCCAGGGATGGCCACTGAAGCAGAGAACCCCAAACTGCCAGTTATTTTGCTCCTCAGTAACTAAGTCATGGACTGGAGGTTCAGCACAGCTTGGTGCATGCAGCCTCCTCCTGAGTGGTGCCAGAGCCAACTGAGAGTTCTGCAGAGACTCTAAAACAGCATTTATAAAGATCTGTTTTTATATAGCTGCAGGTATTAGGAATCAAATTATTATCTGCAGTTTGTCTGAAGCACTCGAGACTTTGGAACTCTCTCCTAGAATCACAGAAGTATTTGGGTTGGAAAAGCTCTCTGAGATCATTGAGTCCAACCATTCCCAGCACTGCCAAGGCCACCACTGACCATGTCCCCAACTGCCACATCCACAAGGCTGTGACACCCCTCCAGGGATGGTGACCCTGGGCAGCTGTGCCAGGGATGGACAACACTTTCCATCAAGGAATTTTCCCAATATCCAACCTAAATGTCCCCTGGCATAGTTCAAGGTCTCTCTGAGATCATTGAGTCCAACCATTCCCAGCACTGCCAAGGCCACCACTGACCATGTCCCCAACTGCCACATCCACAAGGCTGTGACACCCCTCCAGGGATGGTGACCCTGGGCAGCTGTGCCAGGGATGGACAACACTTTCCATCAAGGAATTTTCCCAATATCCAACCTAAATGTCCCCTGGCATAGTTCAAGGTGTTGCCCCTTGTCCTGCCCCTTGTTCCCTGGGAGCCTGACCCCACCCCACCTGGCTGCACCTCCTGGCAGGAGGTGCAGAGAGCAGAAGGT